TACATTGATATCAGAAATGCAGAATACTGAGCTGTGTAGTTCAGGTGGTCCTTACAACATGATGTTCTCAAGTGAGCTAAAATGTTACAAACCATTTTGCAGTTAGTCTCCAGCTCTTTGTTCCACAGCCTGCACCTGCTTCATTGCTAGAGTTGAGTGGCACTGAGCAGGTGAATCACAATCATCACAGTCTTTTTGGTTTTATCCTCTCTGCATCAGAGCTTGTGAGAGCAGAGACAGAGGCTTATTAGGAATCAGAACCTTTCAGCAGCTGTGATGCTGTGTCTTATATGGTCTCTTTGCCAGCATTTGCAAAGAGAAAATACACAAGGATCCTTTTTGGTGACTTTCCACCTATTTGCTGTGCCCCAGAATTTCCTTCTCTTCTGAGTTGTTGGAAACGTAGCAAGAGTCTGTTGTGTGAAATGGCAAAAACTCGTGAATCTCTGGCACAGCTTGCTTAACAACAGCATGAAACTGCTGCTTCAAGTCCATACATGTTTCTTAGAACACACTTGCTTCTGGAGTGTCCTCTAGATGATAGGGTAGAAAGGGAGTCATGATAATCAGCATCTACCTCTTAGCTTCACTTGGCTATCCCATCAGGAGTCCTCAAAAAAAAAAAAAAAGAGAAGAATATTCATTGCTACCATTTAACCATTTATCAAGATCACCTTTGAAGAAACTATCTTTTTATGTTCATGCCACTTTTTCAAGTTCTGCTGAAGATACCTGCTCCTAATTGTTCTTTCCTTCTCATGTCTCCAGTGGCAGATTGTTGGGCTTTTTTCATCAAACCCAAAGGTTTTGTAGCCATGTGATGCAATATATTCCTGACATTTTTAGTGACCCTTGTCTAAAGACCTTGCTATTGGTAGAAGATGAAAATCTTGGCAGCTGGGGGAGCTTTACGGTTAAAACCCTTTCATCTCAGGCGTAAAAGTTTTGCAGAAGTTATTTCCTATTGACAGGGAAAAAAATAGAGCCTGGAGACCTGTGAAGGGTTTGAGTGACTTCATTTGAAAATCTTTCAGCATTATAGCATTGGCACCCATGATTCTGTGTTCTAATGAACAGTAAGGGGAACCAGTCATGTCTGGTAAATTCTGAAAGACTGATTTCAAAAGTTTGGTCGAGTTTTTGTGCTAGAAGAGACTTCGTTTTGTAGAGATTTCTGACACCTAAATCCCTCCCTTTCAAGTATTTCATGGCATAAAAAAAATTCATGCAGATCATGCATTTCTTCAAGGAAAATCCAGAGACAGTTAGACTGAAAGGACATATTTTTTTGGAAGATTCCTCTGCTGTATTATGCATTCCCTAGTGCCCTGTGAGCCCAGCTTGGGACCACCATGGTGTTTGTATCTCGTTTTAGCTAGAATCTACCTTCCTTTTGTCACTGTGAGGAATTCAATGATGTAAGTAAATGACATTGGTCCATTTGGATACAGCTCTGTCTGGCCAGTTTATGGGAGATGCTCAGCTTGATGTGCCAATGTGGCATAATGTTTTTTTAAAAGAGTTTATAAGTTCTATTTGATGTTGATCACTACATGTTTTTCTGTGTATTTGTGATAATCACTTTCTTTGAACTGAAGGCAGACTGGATGGAAAGAATGGATTCCATCCTGACATGTTTCAGTTGTTTTAAACCCACTGTTGGGTGTATAAAACTTTGAACTGGGTGAAGATGTTTGTTATACATATGGTTTCCAGATAAGGCTCAGGAAATCTCAACAACTTTTTGTACCTGCTGTCTTGCATCTGTTGTCCCTGGTCTATCCCAGGCTTGGACTTAAACTTGCATGCTAGTGTTTGCTTTTGAATCTCTTCTAAATTAGAAATGGCAACCTGCTCTGGAGCACAGGCTGTGGACTTGGACATTTGTTTTGGGAAGGAAAGATGCACAACAGTAGGTGTAGAATAAACTGTTCCTTTTTTTGTTTTGTTTACAAACTATCAGGGCTTTTGATTTGGTGGTGAATAATTTTATGTGGAGAAATATGACTGCTAAAAAGCAGTGTAATAATATGTCTGTGGAGCACTTTGAAGATGAAAAGCTCTATACAGTGTAAACATCATTACTAGTATAGCTTAATCTGTGTGGAAAAATTAATCTAGCAAGAGTAAAGTGTGGATTTTTTTATGAATGTACAATATAGTGCTTCAGAAAGTCTAATGCACCTGTGGATTTACTTTCACATTGGAACATAAGAAATTTATCCTCTTATATTTTTAATGTGTATTGCAATGATTCACTTTGTTGTTACTTTCCAAATGTAGAGAGAGTTCTAATCCACAACAACCTGTCAGAAATGTGAAATGTATTTTAAAAGATGGTATAAAAATACTGTGCAATGAGAAATAGGTGCCTGTCAGATACAGATTTGGGGGGCACTCGGCCTTGTTAGGCTTGTGCTGTGCCTTTGGAGAACTTGAGTGAAGTACAGAGCCACACAGGTGCCAGATGGTGCTGGGGAGTGAACACATGCCAGGCTGCTCCAGATAACTCAGCAGCTCTGAGGCATTTTCCCAGGCTCCCAGATGAATGGTCCATAATAGCCGTGGGAGAGGGCTTCCCACTGCTCCACGTTGTACCACAGCCGCCTCTTGGCAGCCTTCTGGAAGCTCAAGTCAGCTTGGCTGTGACTCCTTTGGTAAACAAGTGTTGCTGGATAGTCTTACGGTAAAGAGTCAGTGCCTGATACTTCCTCTCGGTGTCGTGGGACTATGAAATACAACAAGGGCAAATCACCATTCCCTTAAAAGGCAGCTCTCACTGGTGCTGTTTCAGCTGAAACTGAGCTGTGGTTGTTCTAGAACCACTTTTATCCAGTCACATTTTGGATTTCTGGGGGCTATTTACTTTGTTGGGTTTGGGGGTTTTTGGTTGGTTTTGTTTTCCTTTTTTGTTTTTTGATCTTATGATGTAGGTGCACAGTATTGAAGTAAGAAAAACAAAACCCCAATAAATAGAGTTTTATTTCTGTTTCTGTGTTGGTAATCTACCAATGGAGCTTTGTCTGTGTTACATGGTGAAGAGGAAATTGAAGGTTTGGCCAACTGGATTTGCTGAGCCCAGGATCTGTGAATTTTCTACGTTACTAGAGGCAAAACATTGTCTGTAGTTCGAGGTTCAAACTTCTATGCCGTGCTTAAAAGGAGTTAGTGAGGGACCATTTGGCAAATATCAGCCAGTGCCTCCTTCCATGATACCATGAACGACAGGTTTTGGTCCGTGCTGGGATTACACTGGCTGTCTTCCCTGGAGCATAATCCACTGCTCACTCAAATCCAGCATTAGTATATGATAGTATATAAACAGCATTGATGGTGGACAAGTCGGGAGTTGAGAACGGACTTAAACTCATGCTGAGTAACTGTGTAAAACCTTTAAAATTCTGCAAGTTGCATGAGGTTGTTGGCTAAGAAGGTTTTCTTGTGGGGCTTATTTTTTAGGTTTTTATTTCATGAAGTTGAATGGTGAATTGGAAAATAGATTTCCCCTGAAGAAAGCTGAAAGAGGATATCAGAGATTTTATAGTTCTGCAGTAACTTTAACAACTTCGGGGGAGTTTTGCAAACTCCAGCTGACTGTGGATAGATCAGATGTCACATGCAACAGGCTTTCAAAACATTTGAGCATAGCTGTGTGACACTTTCAAAATCCAGGTATCTTCGGTGTGATGCATCTTAGTATTTTCTCATGGTTAGCAACAAGTAAGAGCAGATCATCTGTTTAGAACTTTTCAGCAAGGTAGTAAAAATAGTCAGGGAAACTGAAATTGTTTTTCAGTGTTAGTCCCTCTGGGCTGAGTTTATTAGCTCAAGTGCCAACTCCCTGTGAAGGCTTTATAAGACTTTGAGACTTGAGCTGATGCTGCAAAAACAGTGTGTATAGCTGTCTCGATCTCTTAAGTAGGTATTTGTTTTGTCAGACCTGAGGTAGGTGTTCTTCCAGAGAGCAGTAGCTGCCTGAATCAAGGACCTTTAAGAGGAATTGACTTTGTTCAGTCAATCCTGTATGATTAAACACTTAATCTCTGAGAGAATACCTGGATAGCAAGAAAAATATAGATAGGCATGTCAGTGATTCATAAACAATTTCAGGAAGGAAGTATCCTGCTTTTCCATGTGAATAGCTGAAGATTCACACTTTTTCATTCTGAGTTCCTCTCAAGAAAAATACGTTTGGAATATCACAGACAAAAGGAGGTGGGAAAAACCCCTCTTTTAATACCTACTCTGTGTTTGAAGATTTGTGTTCCAAGTTGTACTGTTAGGAGTGTTACTTTTTCAACATTACAGAGGTCACAGTGGAAGATGCTGTTATCACACTAATAACTTATTTATATCCAGGGCAAATTCTTTGATTTGGCTAATCCTACTAGCAGTGTTAAAGGGTTGTAGATGCCAAACTGGAAATAGCTAAAAGTAATTTTCTTTAATTGTTCTCGTAAATATACAGTTAATAAAGCTGGTGGATCCCATCCAAATTTTTCTTTAGCACTCATCATTTTCAAGGGATGGTTCGACTTGTCACATCTTGACTTGATCTCTAAAGGGAAGTCAAATTTTAGGGATCTTCCTGAGGGGAAGGAAAAAAGATGGCTGATAAATTTCAAAGGGATTGCTTGTGATCCATAACTATAGCCCTTAATGAGAGGTGATGTTGAACAGCACCTGATGGTGAGCTCCAGAAGGTGTCGTAGGAATAGAGTTGTTGCCCCTGCAGGAGAGGACATGGGGCTTTTTGGGGCTTTTCCTATGCTCCTGGGGCATGAGCATTTCTGTCCTCAGGAATAGAAACTGTGTAGGTTACTTCAGTATGAGAATTCAGCAGTTTCTTTTTTAAATTATTCCTTTAAAGTTATGTTTTCTTTTGTATTCTTGGTCTGCTGCTTTCTCTCAATCCTGTCTTAGGAGATGTGCAACACTTTGAGACCAGAATGCCCAAGATACCTTTAAACTTATTGTTATCGCTTTGTTTTATGTTGCAGCCAACAGTTTACACATTACTGCCTACTTCATGAAGAGATGGGTTAACCTCCGTTGTGCTCTAGGGAAACATTATCATGGTAAGAAATCACTTTCATATAGTGCTACTTAGAATTTTGTATTTCTGGGAGGAAAAAAACTTAATACTTTGACACATTTTGGTCTACTTAATTGAAATTTCTTTCAGAGAGGGTAAAAAAGTGTTTCTTAAGATAAGACGGATTTTTTTAAAAAAACCTTGATTTTAAATTAAGTTTATGCCTTGCCCCAGGGTAATCAGCTAAGCCACACCAAATTCTGTAAGTCCATGAGACTCAGCATTTTACTGAGTCTCTGCAGGGTGAATCAACCAGAGGTTGCAGCATGAATCACTTCATTATTGCTTGTGTGTCTTGTGACATCAACTGTGCAGTACAAGTATATGCAAGAAAGGCTCTCATTCACCTCAGTGCTGTAAAGTCTTTACATAGGTGATGTCATTGGACCACTTCTTTTTTCCATGTTTTCTCAAGCCAGGATGCTCTGTAAGGAAGTGATATCCATCCCATCCTACCAACAGCAATGTGAAGGAACTATAATGATCACTACCCTTTGTGTTGACCTTTTTGTATTAAAAAAGACAAAATAAACCCACTTAGGCATCCCTTAAAATATTCAGTACTCAAATGGGCAATTTTTAGGAATTAATTAGATTCATAAATGTTTACACCTGTCTTCAAATGCCAACTAGGCATTTTTGAAGTCCATATTGGTTAAAGAAATCTGTGCTGACTTGAAATATTTCATCAAACTTGTTCTCTTTTTAAAATAGAATAACAGAGTTTCTGTATGGATATATTGACGCTGTTTACTGTGTATTAAATTTGAACTGTTTTAAAGCATCAATGAGTACCCAAAAATCTTTGATTTTGTTAGTCAACAGATGAGATTGTCATACTATGTAACAATAAAAATGTCTAAGTGGAATGAACTTGCCCTACTATTGAATGCTGCAAAAAAAATCTATGAGGTCAACCTCATGTCTTTTCTGTGTGCCTTCTCTTTCTTGCCCCAGAAAACCTGCCTTGGTTTTGAAGTGTAGCAAGTATTAAAAAATACTAACTCTGTATAAAAACAAAACAAAAACCAGCAGAAAAAAAATCAGGGCTGGAAACATGAAGAGAGTAATTTGAAAACAATTTCATATGTAAAACAACAAAATATCAGCTATGCTCTTCCCATGACATTGCCAGGTACTGAATAAAGCTTTGTCTCATCTATTCTGTTCTGGGAACCCTTCAGTTTTTAGTCCTCTGTAAATAGCAACTTTGTTGTGTTCATAACAAACCATGTGATCTCAAGTAAATTGTGTAATTCAGTAGTAGTTAGCCAGTTTTTTAATTACTTAAAAAATCTCTGTAGTCAGTGTGAACCACTCTGCCCTAGCCTTATGCCGAGGTTTGATGCCAAGTCCTGATTGAATGTGTTGTGCTGTGTTACAGACGTAATCCACAGCTTTTGTGATGAAAAGACTCATCACCAGAAGAGCCCAAAAGAAATCATCATTATGTGGTTTCTCTGCTGGTTCTGTCTGGTGTTTCTGTCCAGGGGTGCAGGTGGACTCATTTGCAGGCATGACTATCCTCTTGGGAACTAAATTGTCTCTGACTTATTGATTTATTGGTTTTGATTGGTTTAAAAAAAAACAAAACAAAAGGAGGGATGGCATGTTGAACAGAGTGGGGAAGAAGCTAGTGGAGTGCATTAAGTGAGTAAATGTGCAATTTAAAAGATAAATAATGTTGTTTACGGAAATAACATGTATATATGTTGTCATTATGTCTGATTCATGAAAATTGTTATAATTTTAATGATCTTTTTTCAATTCTTTCTGTGTAGCACTGCGTGTGTTTCCAGAGAGACTTATAGTTTGTGTCAGTAGACTTGACTTTGATCCAAGTGCTTGGATGTGGGAAAATGGTGTATTGGTATGTACAAAATGGTTCTATAAATTTTCTGGATGTTTATATGTAGATGTAGTTATTCTTGTATTAATGACTGTCATCTTTGAACCAGAAAATCACATTAACGGATGGACCAAAGTATTCAAAAGGACATCCCAAAGTGAGTCTGAGGGGGGAAAAAGGGGAATTTTTGAAAGCTCAGCATTTTCTGAGCCTTATAAAGCTCAAAACCCCCACATGTATTTAGAAAGCTAAATGATTTAGGTATGATTTTAGCACCTTGATATAAGAATCTTTTTCCTTTATATTTTAGCCTTGTAACATATTACTTTCCAAAATTATAATGTAGCAGTTTGTAATGTCCATGGGTTTCTTGTAGGTTTTCTTAGCACTTGTTCTGCAAAACAACTCAAAGGGATCAGTGCTAGTCCTGCTGGGAACAAAAATCCCCAAACATTTATGGAAGAAAAGGCACTGGTGTATGGTTAAATACCATAAACAATTCTGCTTAAATATTTCATCCTGAAGTCTTTACCAGGGTCAAAGGCTTATGAATTTTGTGCTGCAGTTGACTGCTGATGGTCTTAGGAGTGCTCACATGGGCCCAGGTGCCTGCTCTGTGGCAAGCAGGATCTTCTGGGCTCACACTGAAGGTTGCAATTGCACCCTGAGGTCGAGGTATATTTTAGGAGTTTATCTTACATCTATTAAAGTATATTTGACCCTTAAAAAAAAAAGTTGGTTTTCTTAACTCATTCAACTTCATATTTTTAATGCCAAGCAGTGTGTTTGTATTTATAATGCTAAGTGCAGATTTTATTATCTTGATCCTAAATTGATGCATATCCTTGAATGTCAAAGGATCAAGCAAATGTTTTTCACACTCTCAGAAAAAAAAATAATCTTTCTGCTTTAGAATTACTTTGCTGTTTTGAAAAGTATTACTTTTTCAGTGTTGTCTTGAAAACTACTTAATGCTTTAAGTAGTAAATCCTGTCTCTGCTTTTTAGTGAAGAAGTAATTATGTGGGGGGTTTTCTTGCTTAAGTATCTCTTATGTTATATCCAATTTCTCCATTTGGTATTTTTAATCTTTCCATAAAATAAAACTTGAGAAGTTTTCTTTAGTTTTTCTTTCATATGATTCTGGGTAGGAAAGAGAAGGCAAATTAAAAATATAATGTTATAGGCTTTAGCTTGACTATATCAAAATTTGATCTTGATCTATGGAAACTCCTTATTGTTTAAAAGCAGTTTAAACACTTATATTTTGAAAAAAATTACATCTCTTAGTGGGATCATAACCTAATCAATAATAAAGTTTGGGAGTTTGCTTCACTTAGAAGTGCCAAGTTTGTGCACAGACCTGGCTGGGATGGTCAGTGCAGTGTGTTGGTAGGAGAGAATAAGATAAATTATCCCTAAGCCATCTTTCCTGATCTGAAGAACTTAGCAAGATGAGAGCAGACCCTCAGCAAATGTTTTGTAGTATCTGTTTAATTCTTACCACTGTTACTTAGTGTCCACTCCAGATGGTTTTATTGGTCCAGAATTGCTACAGCGTGGTAGTGCCAAATTTGTCGCGTACTCTAGTTGGGTACTTTGCCAAACTGTGGGAGTGTTTGATTGCCAGTGAGAGGTAGTTTCAAGTTTTTGGCACTCCAGAAGTGAAGGGTAAGGATCTGCACTCTGTGTCTGTGTCTGTGTGTGCGCTTTTCTCTCTCTAGTTTAGCAGTGAGTAGGCTGAACTTTAAAATGCACTGCAGACCACCCAGAAGACCTTTTTGTTGATACACTCCAGTGTATTCTGTCATGGGCTAAAAATGAGGCATATGTTTTGTTTTCTACTCTATGTTGTTTGAATAATGTCCTAATGTTGGATGCAAGTTCTTTTAGTCATTTAATCAGCTCACACCCTTGGTTTTGGGGGCCTATTTGTTTTATAAAAGCAGTAAACTATACATTAATGGAGTTTTTGTCACTTTTCAGTGTTACTGAATGTCTCTGAGATTGACTTACTCAAGACTTAACAACCACTTATTTTTTTTAGCTGCTTTTCTGCTGATTTATGGTCTGGATAAAGTATTCATTCCTGAGCTCTGTGAAGACAAGTGGGGCTCAGTGCTCTACTTTCTCATTATTTGGAACCAGTTTTGTGTCCGCCTGGTACATGTTTCTTTCACTCACTACAACTGTCTTCCTTCACCTGTCTTCAGCACTTTATTCTTTGGCTTTTCACTGCTTTTTAGGCTATTCTCTGTATCTCTGAAATAGGTTGTACTTAAGGCAAGAGTTTCAAGGGATATAGCCAGCTATGAAGTGAAATTTTGATGTCCTGTGCCTTAGGAAAGATCATAATTAGATTGCTTTTGAGGTATTGAGAGGCACAAACCTCAGCATCAGTTGCTGAGAGAAGCAATGTGAATCCTTCTGTGATGCCTCTTGTAAGACTAAGGTTAAGGTTGATTACACGGTCTTGGTTAAATTAGCTTTAAGCATAAACTAATAAAATTTTGAGAGCCCTTCTAAGGAGCAGAGCTGAAATAAAATAGAGGAAACCCAATTGATCTGTAATTTTCTAGAATCTATTTATAAATGGGTGTGTCTGTGGTTATATTTAAAAATCAGGCTGCAGGCAGTAATGAGCATTTTGGAAGAAGGGAAACCTCTATTAAAGAAACAATATAGCAAGTTATTGAAATTACATAAGCAAATTGGAAGTCTCAAAGAAAAGATGGAAGAATAGCCTGGCTGATTAATGCTAAGTTTAAACATGAACCCATTGTTTCCTGTTTTACCGAACTATGTTCGTAATCTTGAATAATTTTATCTTGAAAAAGAAGAACATGGCAAAAGAGGAAACTCAGGGCAGTATGTAAGAGCTCTGGAGAGATTAGTCTTTGTCAATGACGACATTTTCTCGATGATTATTATGTAGAAAGCTAAAATGGAAAATTGGAAATGGGTTATCTGAAGAAACAGTGGAAATGGGTGGAAGGCTTATGGGCATTTGAAAATGTGCTAACAATGGAGTATTCATTGATAACCACATTGGCTTTATACCAGAATCCATGAGAGGAAGCAGTTTTAGGAAAAGCATGAAGGATGTTAAGCTAAAGATGATATTAAATTGGAAATTTGACATTACTGTTCATGTGAAATCAGAAAAGAAAGTGGGGAGTAGGAGATCTTTTTAATCAAGACAGAATCTCAGGGTTTCCACTGAGCCTTGCCAAGTTAGAGGGAATATTATACTAAAATAAAGATTCTTTTCCCACAGAATATTGCTCTTAAAAACAAACACACAAAAAAACCTCCACACAGGTACACAAGAAGAAAAGTGCTAAAGATAAGCCCAGTGTTTTCTAAGTGCCCAGCAGTGAAATAAAAGCAAACTATTTCATCTTCTTCACATGTGTGATCTTATAAATTGCATCATTAGAGCATCCTTCAGGTATATTAGAGAAGTCTTAAAACTCTTAAGAGCATAAGTGACAGCATTTGCTTGGGTTTTGATTATGCTGGGAAGAGGCTTTTGCTTCTTTCATGAAAATATGAAGACACAGCTGTAATCAACAGGAGACTTTGAATATTAGAGTATATGCTGCTTGGAATAGTGTGTCTATTGCAAGGTAGAATGAAAATTTTTTTCAGATAGCAGCAATTTGTAAAGATTAGTACAAGACTTTATGTGGAAGTTAGTTATCTTAAATACTTTAAAGACTATTATTGTTAAGTGGTATCAGATTGGGTAGGGGAAGAAGGAAATGCTGTGAAATAGAATTGCACAATTCACACTGTGTAAGTACTAATCTTGGCAAGGACCTCTGTGTGTGTGTGTATAGATATTTATATATGTATAATATTACAGTTAAACTGCTGTAATGATGGGCTACTACTGTAAAGGTCAGTCCACATCCCCTCTAGTTCCAGCTACATATTCCTTTCCTTGCTGGTTACAATGGACCAAGTGATTCTTCAGTCCAGAATGAATTAGTTCATTGACTTGATCTAGCAGAAAATTATTTATTTGTGAAGTTCCTCTGTTTTTTATTGGAGGATTAGTTTTCCATCATGTCAGTTCACTGAACCAACTCATCCTGTACCCACAGAGTTGCCAATTGTGGTGCAAAATAATGTTGCAGAAGCACACAGCCAGGATTTGGATGAAGGGAGCAGCATTGCTCCTTCAGGTAGCAGCTGATGGGTTTGGAAGTAACATCCAGAACACACAACAACATTAGATTTATTGTAATATTTGTCTTGTTGCTGTGGGGTTTTTATTTCGCTATCCTTTTTTACTTTTTATAAAATCTAGTTTTCTTGTGGTTTCAGATAATATGCCTAATTCTTTTCAGTCATTATAGGAAACATAGCTAGAGGAAAGCAATATTAAGCTGTAGTTTGGTAACTATGAACAAAGTTCACTCCATTTTAAAAAAGGTAGAGGGGAGGAAACTGCAGACTAATGAACTCTTAACCAAATTCCACAGAGCAGAACAGGCAAAGAATTGCTTTGTTGAGTTTTCTCTTTTGACACTTCAAGCTTTTGTCACCCGTTTTTTACTGATCCTTCATGTTCTGCTCAAGCTGATGCAAGACTGGTCATACTGAAACATGTCATCCCTCCTGCCTTCTCTTCCCCAGGCATTCTTGTCCTCAGTGTCTGTCAGTACTGGCATGTGTAGGGAGCTGGGTTCATTCAGTGATCCCTCTGAAAACAAGGAGTGTTTTTGTTTTGGTTTTTTTTTGTTGTTTGCATGGTTCACTTTCAGCCAGATCCCTTCAGTGTTGATACAGAGACTTGGCAGGACTGTGTGTTGGGTAAGGGTGAGACTTCCCTTTCACTGTCAGCATAGTTTTAAATTAACTTGGATCCTTAGGCTGCTCTCTCTGAGAAAATACATCTCAAAGTAATGATACTGAAGTCTTTGACTTGGTCATAAGGAAGAAAACTACAGCAGTTTTACAATATTCCCTTTTGCCCCAGCTTTCTGACTCTTCTTGGAGATTACCACTCCTAGA